GTGTCTAGAATGTTCCACACAATGCTAGAACAATGTAGACCCCAAAAATGAGAAATGGAAGTTATTGTCCTGAAAATGCAGCAGATTCTGTAAATTTTGCAAGGGTTAATCGATTAACCCATTTACACTATCAAATGGTTAATCGATTAACTAGACTAAAACTTGCCCAAATTTGCATGAAAATGATGCTTTGGTCATGGCTCTGATTTTCGACCTCTTGCCTTGGTGAATAAGTATAAAAACCTTTATTTTGTGCTTGTTTTGATGATGTGATATCTTTGGGAGGATGTGATTAATCGTGCTCGTGAAACCTGAAAGTTCCAACAACAAAGATTGCAAAGAAAACATGCAAATGCGTATGTCAGCGATATGAATGCACATGTTCATGCAAAGACAAAAAAAGATGTCAAATTTTGGGTTTCGACAATTATAAATCATAAATGAATAAAATTAATGAAGAAATTTGTGAGACAATTTTTCTGTCACAAAAAATTCCTCATAAAATCTCATAAAGTTGATAAAAGTAAATTTAATAAATTCTTCACTAATACAAATTTTGTCATAAACGTGTTACATATTTTTGTAAGAAAAATATTCTCTCTTTAATATATTATTTTATATAAAATAAATTTAATTTAAAATACATTTTAATAACATTGTAGCTTAAAATTTAATCAAAAATAATATTAAAATATTTTTTACTTCAAAATTATTTAATATAATATATTTTACTTAATAAATTTTATGAGGTTAACTTTTGACATTACTAGTATGGTGATGTTAAATTAGATACAAATATTGCCAAGTTTGAACCTGAAAACAACTCTTCAACTTTAGTGAATTAGATACATTAATTGTGATGTAGTCTGAGCCTAGTATGCTGATGTTAATCTTGTAGCTTATGCTTTAATTACTATATTACTTGAACAAGATATTATGGATGTTCTTTTTAATAATACAGCTCAATGGAATGAAAAGGTTCCCATTATTTCTTCCAAAAGAGTTGAAAATAACTTGTTTTACATGGTAGCACTCAAGATATTTCTATACATTCTTATTCTCTCGTATATATGTGCTCTTTTACACTCACATTTAAACTATTTTTAAAGACAAATTGTGATTACTTTAAGTTGCAATGAAATTATAAAATATTATAATTAAAACAAAGTTCTGTGTTAAGAGATTAGCACCATTATAATTAATATTTAATTTATTGGTTGGATACAAAGAATCTAATCCTAGATCAGATTAAAGAAAAATAGTTAAAAAGTTAAACTTTAATTAGCAGCCTTGCCAAAAGGGAAGTGGATTCGAATGAACCTTTGATTGAATGATTAGTTTTAAAATATATTAAAATTTAAATATCAGTGTTCTGAAATTTTAACTGATATTATAAATCTGAATACAGTTGTTATTAGGGATGTTAAAAAAAATCATGAACTCAACTGTCAAACATAATCAAATTAAAGTTAAAATATCAGAATCATTTTATATAAGGTAAGTGAATGTAGACATATTGCACAAAATACTTCTAAAACCGTATCGAAATTAAAATCGAATTAAATCAAAATTGTAACAAAATCAAATCGATATTGAAAATTAAAAATATTTAAAACAAGTTTTAAAATAAATAAAAAAATAAAAATAGTTTAATGGTTCGTTTGAAAAAATAATCTTCTGACAATTCAATATAATTCGAAAATTTTAAACGGTAATAATTTTGATTTGATTCTAAATAAATTAAAACGATTCAGTTCACTTCAAATAAATCTTTATTATAATTTAGTTCGGTTCGGTTTAATTTTTTTAAAGTATAAACAACCTAGTTACTATATTATATTATAAGTTTTTAGGAGTTATTTTTATTTTTCAATGAAAACAAAAAAAACCAGTATTTTATAAGATAAATGAAAAATGATATGATAATGTAGGTCAAGATATGGTTTCTATGGCCACCACAAAAGTGAGTTGACATCTATCATGGATCCTATGATAAACATTTGGGTGGAACTATATATGTCATGTGGGTCTATAAAGTGGTTTGCTAGTTGGCTAGTGCTTTTAAGTGGCATTGGGATTAAAGAAAAAAAAATCACATATTCTTCTTTATATATAAACTAAACAATTTTACCTATATTAACAAGTCTATTAATTTTTTAATTTTTTATTTGAAGATCATCTTTTTCTATATAAAAGTTATTGATTTATAAATACTTATCTTATTTTAAAATAATTATAATAAAATATTATTTATTCTTGTTATTGTTTTCATTATATTTTTTTTCAATATTCTTTTATTGACGTGTTAGTATTGAATAGAATATTTGACAATTTAATAGATATTTTTATTTAAATAAAATAATTTATAAAATATAATAATATTTATTTTTTGTTATGAATTTATCTCTCAATTAGAAATGAAATGATTATTGAATAGAAAGAATTTTATTTTGATAATGTCTCATAGATTTATAGTATATTAATATTTAAAAGCTATTTGAAAATTCGATGACATTCAATGTTTTTTTAAAAGTTCATTAATAAAAGGTTTTATAAAAGAACTAAAAAATGAATGAGGAACCTGTGGCAAAACTAGACTATATAGTTTGAGGTGACCACAAGATTAATCTATAATTTATAAATTAAATATTTATATTATAATGTATATAAAATATCTAAATTATAATAAACATATAGTTGAACATAAAATAATTAAAGAATATTATATAAAAATATCTTAAAATAATGCTCTACGGTTTTTGAGTAGGTTGAAATCATCAATAATAGTCTCGGAATCAATACTTGCAGCAATTTCTTTTTCAATATTAACTGTCATGCTATCTTCTAGAAAATCAGCTTCCATTTTGTTTCTCAATCTTGTCTTGATAATTTTCATTGTTGAAAAAGATCTTTCCGTAATAGTTGTAGATACGGACAAAGTCATGATAAGGCGGAGCAGTCTATCGATCAAATAATAAATTTCTTTCTTTTCAGTTGCAACTAAAGATGAACATAACTCTTGAATAGTCGACAAATTATTCAAACTCGATGCTTGACGAGCGTCAATAATAAAATGCCGAAGTTGAAATTTCAAATTAATCTTCTCTTACTCATTGAAGTCCATAGGATAATATTTTTCAACTAGAGTACAAATGGTATCAAGGTTAAAAGCCTTGTAATTATCCTTGGGAGTCAAAGCAGCACTTAGAGTTAACAAATCAATCGCTTGCTCACTAAATCTGCTATTCAAGTCTTGCAGTTTTTTTTGTCAATGGTAGTGAAAAATATTTCAACTCTAAAATAATGCTCAATAGTTACCTGGTTATCTTCAATATGAGAACGACCAAATCTTGTTGTTGAATGAGCATCATTAAGATTAGGAATCTCAATATCATGTTTTTCACAAAAAGACTTCACAAAAGCAAACAATTCATCTCAACCAATTTCTCTTAAATCTTGAATAATAGTTTTTATTGTACTAACCAAATGCATAACATTAACTACATCTTGAGATTGTTTTTGTAAAGATTGACAAAGCATATTTGTGATTCCCATAATTTTTTTTCATCAAATGCAATATGAATATGAAATCAAATGACTTCAAATAATTGTAAGCATTATTAGCATCTCCACGTGAAGCATAACTTAATCCTTCCTTTGCAAATTTTCTTGAAACATGACAAGTTGCTTCATACATATTCATTAAGCTAGAAATAGAAGAGAAGTGTGATCCCCAACGAGTATCCCCGACTCGCTTTAAAGTAGCAATTTGATTTTCACCTTTACTAGTTACAATCTCACCAATCTCTAATAAGTGTTCATTTTCATCTAATTGAGAAGCTTGTAACTCGTCGTGGCGCTTTGTAGAAAAACAAAAAACATTGACAATTAAAGTAAGCTTCTCAAAGAATTGATGATTTGGTTTAACTTCTCTTGATGCAGTAACCAAAGCAAGTTCCAATCGATGAGCAAAATGAACATAATATGCATAAGGACAATCCTTCATAAAGAGTGCTTGTAAACCGTTTCATTCTCCTCTCATATTGCTAGCACCATCATACCCCTGACCACGAATGTTGGAGACATCAAGGTTATGCAGAGAAAGTATATCACAAATATTTTGCTTAAGAGTTAAAGATGTAGTGTCACTAACACGCGCAAGACCAAAAAATCTCTCTTGTATAAAACCATCTTTATCAACAAATCTCAAAACAAGAGACATTTGCTCTTTTTTGGATTCATCCCACGCTTCATCTACAATTATACAAAACTTGGAATCACCAATTTCTTCACGAATATGCTTTTTCACCCTACTTGAAAGAATGTGCAAGATCTCTTTTTGAATTAGATGTGAAGTATACTTGCTATTAGATGGAGGATTTTCCAACACAAATTTTGCAACTTCATCATTGTAACCTGCTAAGAGTTTTATCAATTCAAGAAAATTGCCTTACTTCATCATTGTAACCTGCTAAGAGTTTTATCAATTCAAGAAAATTGCCTTGGTTTAATGATTATGTACTTTCATCATGACCTCTAAAAGCACACGCTTGAAAAGTTAACCAACGAACAGTGTCAATTGAAGTCTTGAGACGTAGTCGATTCTTCATAATTTCAATTGAAATTTGAGCTTGAATAATATTCCTAATGTGACCATGTTGATTCAACAAGTCTTGACAAGATTTCATAGCATTGTTATGTGGAGAACAAGGATCTTTCTCTATGTGTTTAAGAAATGCACAATTCTTTCCATTTCTAACTTTCTTCCATACTCTAAAACCTGTAGAAATGAAGACATCGGAACCAGGACGTCCACTTGGTCTTTTGCTAAAAAGATAACATGGTAAGCAATAAGTAGCATCTTCTGAATGTGAATATTCTAACCATGAAGGAAAAAGGCTAAACCAAGCGTGTTGAAAACGTCTTTGATAGTATTCTTTACCAGACAATGGATATTGCTCTAAATTCATTTGATATAGACACCATTTTAAATAAGCTCTTCATATTTCATCCATTTGATTTACTAGATATTCCCACTTTGAAGGACGTTTTTCAGGATCACGTTCTAAAGAATTCTCAATGTCATCCGAACAAACTCTATTAACATTTTCTTCAATTTTTGGATTCTCAATAACTCTTGTAGGTTCAGACATAGGTGTTAAATTATCTTCATCTCTTTCTTTCCTCTTGAAAAAAAAATCAAATTTTCTACTCTTCATTATCACTTTTGTGCTGCATAAGCAATTAAATAAATTAAAACAACACAATAAAATTCCAACATAATTCAATTTTACAAATATTAATAAGTTAGTAACTTAGTAACAAACATCCAACATAATTTAACATTTCAAACTTTTTTTATTTCTATTTCTCTATTGACCTGCTTTTTGTGAAAACAATTGAAGAGAAAAAAATACAAGTTTTTGATAATATTATACAGGTATGAAATTAAAAACAGGTTATGAACAAAATTTTTATAGCTATCATTGAAAAAGTTTGATAATATTCTAAAATAGTTTGAACACAAATTCATATTACAACAATTAAAGGTTGAGTTAAAGAAAATTAGTTTAATAACAATATGTTACATTAGCAATTTTATACAAGAGAGATACTACAAGAAATTAAAATAAGTGAATATTAATTTAATGATAATAAGCTACAACAATTAAAATAAGTGAATAGCATTAGTAAGAACAGTTCACAAGTAGCACATTATGCCAAACTATAGTATTTTCTTTTCATAACAAATTGATTATGCAGTAGATTACTTTTTGTGAGAAAACTCAAAGAAACTTGTAAACTAGTAAGTAATAATAAAATAAAATCTAAATTAATCATAATGAAAACAAATTTTTTTATATATTATGTGAATTTTGAGAAGTTTATTTTGAACAATTTTAAATGAAGAAGATCAAGATGAACGAAACAAACTCACGGTGGTCTTCGGTGGCAGCGTTGGTGGTTGGCCGAATGAGTCTCGTACAAGTACCTGCGAAGCAGTGACGTGGCTTTTTTAGAATTTATTTTTCTGAAACTTGAATTGAACGAGAAAGAGAGGTTGCATCTTTTAAAATGATATAAATTAGGGTTTATTTAGTTAATAGTATAATGACAAAATTGTTATTTTTTAAATATAAGTAAGGCTATTTTAGTATTTTCACTATATAGAAAAATTTTATAAAAAGATTTTGGGGTGCCTGTGGCCCCCCCGGTCCCATGCATGTTCCGCCACTGTGAGTAACCAAGCTCACACATCCAGTAAAGATTGTGGTTCAAAATAGAAAGGAAAAGGAAATATGGATGGTATTTGGACACACGTTGTTCATTTCACATGTCAAGTCATTGAGAATGGCTAGACAATTTTGAGGATTCAAGAAAAACTAAGATAAGATTTTATTATAACATAACCATTCCATAAGAGAGAGTTGGTGATGTTTTGATCAAAGGCTAGAAAGGAAATCAAGCACTCGACACTAGTGTGTTGTATATTCCAATCATGGTGAATAACTTGTTAAATATAAGTCAATTGCTTCAGAATGAGTTTATAAGACAATACTTGGCTATGGCACATCGAGTATGGACACCTTAATTTTAAGAATATTTTCTACTTTAATGTCAAAGGAAGTGGTACATGTTTTCCACTAAATCAAGTTTTTTGTATATACGTGCAAAATGTTTTTGATAGAAAAGAAGCCAAAGAGTTTTTGTGTGTCTCATATTTCAATAAGAGCTTAAGTTAAACTTGACATGGTGCATAATGATTTTTGTGGTCCCTTTAATATAGTGTCACTATGAGAGAATATACACTTTGTTTCTTTTCTGAATGAGTTCAGGATAATCATATAGGTCTATCTAAATAAAATTAGATAGGAAGTGCTTCAAATTTTTGTTAAGTTTAAAGTGATGGAAAAGAAAAGAAGCATAAAGGAAACTCAATTTTTTTTGGAATGATAGGAGATGGGAGTACACTTCAAGACAGTTTGAATCATTTTGTGATACATTGGAGTTTAGCATGATATCATAATACCATACATCCATTCAACTTAATGATCTTGATGAGAGGAGGAAAATGACTATCATGAACATGATTAGATGCGTGTTGAAACAAAAGAAACTTCCACACGTGTTCTGAAGTAAATTTATTACAACTTTATATTATGTACCCAGCAAGAGTCCAACTAAGAGATTAGACATGATCCTAGAGATAAACTAGTCAAGTCACAGTCCATTTTTCAAGCACATAAGAATCTCTGGCTTTTTTAGTTCAAACACATCTCATACCAAAGAAGATAGAAACTTGAAGATAAAAGTGAAATGACGATTCTAGTAGGCTACCACACTGCAGATTATTACAAGTTATGCATCCCTGTCACCCATAAGATTCTTACAAGCAGAGATGTTACAATCAATGAGTAGAAATGTTAATTGGCAAAGTCATGATGTTGATCATCTTAAGTGTTCCATTTGATTTCTACGATGTCTGAAGTGAACACCATATACCCGAAATAGGTGTTGTACAAATGGATTAAGGAAGAAGATCACAAAGAATTAGATACCCAACTAGAAGACATCAATAATAAAATTTTATTCTATACAACATGATCACACTAGAGGGAGACCTATTGCACCTAACCTTATTTGTTGATGTTGAGTCATTCAACTATGTAGAAGTAACTATATCCACTGCGTGGAATCCTACTACATGGGAAGAAATTAAGATGATAAATAAAAAATCAAACAATCTAGTCTCCTTAATAACACAAAAGAGATATACTGCAATCAAATGGGTCTTCAAATGAAGCATCTTCGAGAGGGTTCTATTATCAAACATAAGGTGAGGCTTGTTGCAAAGGAATTATTACAAAACCTTGGCTTGACTTCACATAAATTTTACCACATGTTGCAAGAACCGAGACAATTTGATTAGTGGTAGTTGTGGCTAACTTCTTGCAATGAAATCTTGTTTAAGTATATGTCAAATATGCATTTTTTCAATAGCTATCTTGATGGGAACATTTGTTAGAAAATTGAGTATGATAATCCTGGATATCTTCGAGGAATCGTGTTCGTACACTTTCCGAACAAAGTATTTCGACCCTATTATTTGCCTGGGTTCACGAAATCTTTGTGGAGATAATTCTTGAAGAACAATCTGCTTTTGGCAATAGAGAACAAATCAGGAATGTAGAGAGAAAGTATGGTATTCGTTATTTTGTCTGATAAAACTAAGGCCAAATGACTCCTTATATAAGAGATTAATAACAGAAACTGAAAAGACACAACTGTTCAAAAATTTTGAACGGGTTCAACTGTTCGGAAAAATTTCGAACAGGTTCAACTGTTAAGAAAACTTTCAGAACAGTTGTGTCTTTTCAGGCTCTGCCCCTTGGAACCCCACGGGGCGCTGCCCCGCACCCCGCCAGGGGCTTCGCTCCTTGGAACTCCAGTGGGGCGCTGCCTCGCACCCTGCCAGGGGCTTCTCCCCTTGGAACCCCTTTTCAATTATTCGCATTCAATTGCACATTGGCTCGACGAGCGTGCACTCCGCACTACCCTAACTCGTTTTCAAGCTTAACGCATAATTGCATCGGCCTACAATAAATCACATTACTACTAAAATACATTGATGATAATAAAATCACCAACAACATTTATGTTGAACTTGCAATCTCACAAATTCATTATGAAATGGTGAAGATAAAGTATAAAAGTTTAATAAGGCTCTATATGATCTGAAACAAACTCTAATAACCTGAAATGATATGATTAATGAATACATAAAGAAAATTAGATATTCCATGTGTAATTGAACATGAAATCTCCGTGAAAGGATTGAATTAAGACAATTTCAACATAATATAATTAATTAATAAGTTGATTAGATTGTTAGACCTAATTAATATTTGTAAGTCCAACTATAAGAAAGTCATTATGTGGCCTAATTAATATTTACCTCAATCATGCGGATAAACTAGTTTCAAATATTTTTTCATATGAAAAAGTTTCTTATGTGAGTCAAAAAGGAAACAAACATATGAAATATTTATTTGAATGATATGGTAATGGGATAGTTTCTCATGAGTTGTGATGATGAAATGATATGCATTACTAAGAAAGATAATAATTTATTATTACTATTGTAGCATGCGCGGAAAGGATCAATAGAGAACTAGTGACGTGCGATATGGCACTTAGCAACAATAAAATAATCAAAATAAAAAATAAAAAAACAATGAAATTATATTAAATATTATTTTATGTGTCTTGTAAAATAAATTTTGTAAAAGAGCGTATTATTTGGTTTTTAAAAACTAGTGTAAGAGTTTTGTTGAAATTAAATTCTAAGACTTCGAATAAATTTTGATGAAGAAGATTCAACTATTCAAGTATACCAATCAAATTTTTTATTTATTTATTTTTCTCTCGAGTGAATCAACCAACAACTTTAATTGTATGATTATATCGATACACAACGGATGAAAATAAGAAAATTAAATTAAATTGAAGAAGAATAAGAAGTTTAGGGTTTTTACCAAAAATAAGAAAGAAGAAGAATTTCTGCAGAATAACTCTCTACTTTCAAAATTGTAATTTTATTCAAGTGAATCTCTTTACGATAATAAAAGTTACTATCTATTTATAAATTTATCTTGCTCGCTCGCTAACAGACACATGCACCCATAGTGGAATGGGGTCAAGTGACCCCACTTGATTTTTTTTTTAAACTAATAATAATTAATTTTGGAATATTGGCCCCACATTAAATACATCATTGTCCCCATACTACTCATTTGATTTGAATTCTAGAAAACATAAAATTGACTATTAATTTTATTTTTATTACTTTTTTTTAAAAAAGAAAATGGAAATTAAAAAGACACAAGTAAATTGTATTTGTATAGGTTATTCTAATTATAAATCAATTTACATACACACTCGATGTATAAGTATTTATATTTTTTTTATAAATATTTATTTTATTTTATTTTTATTTTTGTATTAAAAAAATTAACCTTGACCCATTAATTAAAATTTTTGGATCCGTCCCTGCAGTCGCTAAGTAAAGCCCAAAAATAAAAAGGCCAAAATACATAATAATGCCAACACTACGAAATTAAGTTTAAAACAAAATTCGTGTCGAGGTTAACTTATTGACACTTTAACAGCTAGGTGTTTCAATACACACTAGGCTATTCAACAACGTCCTTATCCCTGT